GGGGTCAAGTGGGGGGTCATTAGAAAGGGCTTTTAATTCTCTATACATCGATTCTTACTTTTTGAAAATCGATCCATTATTTTAGAAAATATGCAGCTTTGAAAATACGAACAATATTTTTGACGAGAAATGCGAAAATCGATTTAATTTTACTTCAAAACTTACGGTATTAGCTTGGTAAATTCCTTCAAATGAATTCGCTGTTTTTTTTTCTGATTTGCGAATTCTTTATCCTGATTTTGGTGTGCAAAAAATTGTCCGCTTTTTGTTTCGTATTTAGATAGGCCACAAGAAGTTGCTAGATAACTGTCTTGTGACTTGTAAAGGGTTTTCCAATTAGGGCGTGTCGATGTTGACACTCTATGGCGGCTATATTTTTTATTCGGCATATGTCAAATATGTTGCTTATTATTCAGTCACTGATGCCAAATCATCATGTCAAGTTACAAGATTCAACAGCACGTCTAAATGATAAAATTTTATTATCAAAATGAGCGGTCGTTAGTGCAAACGTTGCGCGCGTTGCGCCAATTTTACGGGAGACGCGGTGGCCTTTCAAAATTAACTCTTCAACGTTTGGTGGCCAAATTCGAGACGACCGGTTAGGTAAACAATCAACCAACACCCGTACGTCAAAGGAACGCCAGATCGGCCGAGAACATCGCCGCTGTCCGTGAAAGTGTGCAGAAGAACCCGAGGCAGTCTATTCATCGCCGTGCACAAGAACTCGGACTTTCGCGTACTTCAACTTGGCGAATTTTGCGTCGGGACTTGGGCCTGCACTCGTACAAGATCCAACTAACCCAGGAGTTACAAGTTAATGACCATAGACAACGCCGTTTGTTCGCTGATTGGGCATCGAAACGTTTGAAAGAGGACCCCAATTTTGGCCGAAAAATCATCTTTAGCGACAAAGCGCATTTTTGGACAATAGCTATGTTAACAAGCAAAATTGCCGTATATGGGACGACGCCAACCCACACGAGGTTCACCAGGTTGCAATGCATCCACAAAAAGTTACTGTTTGGTGCGGATTTTGGGCTCGCGGCATTATTTGTCCGTTCTTCTTCGAAAACGACGTTTGTGAGGCCATCACCGTCAACGGCGAGCGCTACAGATCAATGATCTTCAATTTATTTTAGCTCAAATTGAACGATATGGACGTGGACGACATGTGGTTCCAACAGGACGGCGCTACGTGCCACACAGCGACTGTCTCAATGGGTATTCTGCATGAACAGTTTGAGGGTATGGTTATCCTTCGCAGAGGTAACGTGAATTGGCCACCAAGATCGTGCGATTTGACCATGCTTGATTTTTTTCTTGTGGAGTTTTCTGAAGTCGCAGGTCTATGCCAATAAGCTGCAATCGACTGATGCCCTCAAAGTCAACATAACCCAGGCCATAGCTCAAATTCAGCCGGATCTATGCGGCAAAGTCATTCAAAATTGGACCTCTTGGATCCGTGCTACCATGCGGAGCTGCGGCGGACATTTGAACGATGTCATATTCCATACATAATAGCATACATAGACCTTTCAAATAAAAAAAGAATTCCGTTGATATCTCACACACAACTTGTTTTATTCCATATCAACATCGACCCGCCCTTACTGAAAAACCCTTTAGTTGAAGAGTTCCAATACTGCCGAGTCTTTTAAATTGATTAATTATGGTGTACTCAATTCCAGAAAGAGTAGAAATTATTGAGCTTTTTTTCAAAAATAATGAATACGGAAATCGGGTCGCCGAACTGNATTTAGGTAGAAAACTTAATGAATTGTATTTGCTTGATATAGGAATTGTTATTTTTTTAATTAA